CTGAATGACCAAAAGCAAACTTAATGGTTTTAGGTTCAGACAGGTTTTAGATTCAGAACGGATAGCTTCAAAAATAGAAGTACTTGATATTGCTGCCATAGATGGGAGAGTTTGAGGTCTTCGAGTACCATCTTGAGATCTTGCGACCATGCGATGACGAGAATGCTCAAAGGCAGGCAAAAAATTAGATTGGTTGGTTTTTTGTGTGGTAGCATTTTCATCACCAGATTGTGCGTTACATCATCCTGGACATCTTGGATTAGTGTTGTTGTGGTCACATCATCTTCTATAAGAGAAATTGAAGAGTTATCATTGATGATGAGAAAAGCAAGACTTGAGAGATCAGATACATCAAGGGCATCCCATATGGGTAGTATATGTGGAGGTAATGTATCAAAAGATGAAGGAGTACGTGTGTCAAGCTCATAACACTCTGATCATTTTGCATAGGTGGAGAGCTCTCCATGAACCTGAGCACTTTCAAACAAAGAATTGGAGTTAGCATAAAGATAGATATTTTCATCAACTACAACATGTCTAGAGATATAAACTCATCTTGTGGGTGGATGCAGACATCTGTAACCATTATGCAGAATACTGTAACCCAAAATATGCATGGAAGAGAACGATGAGATAATTTATTCGCAACACAGTCTCGAAGGTACAGAAAATACCGACAACCAAAAGCCCAGAGTGAATAATAGTCTGATAAGCGGTCAAACAACAAAGAATATGGTGAATCCATAAGCAAGTTGGTCAAGGGAATCCTGTTTATTACAAAGACTGCGGTATGGAAAACTTCAACCCAAAATCGTTTATGAATTCCGACATGAAACATCATTGTAAGACCTAATTCTACTATATTTCTATGTTATGCTCATATACTTTCCTATCTAATTCCAATTGTGTTTCTATTATTAGGCATGTTTCCCCACTGAATTGCCCAATAAAAAACAAAAAAAGTTTATTGTATCATGATCCATCTTTGCTCATCTCATCCATTCCATTGCTGATGGATAGTTGAATGAAGATAATTATCCTGTTAAGTTTGTCGAGACTAAGACTAGCCAAAAGAATGCTCATATGCTCCTTTGAGAGCCCACAAGAAAGAAAAGAAAAGAAAAAAAAAAAAAGAAGAGGAAGAGGGAATTGCACATGAAGAAAGAAAAGAAAAGAAAAAAAAAAAAGAAGAGGAAGAGGGAATTGCACATGAAGATTGAAAGTAGGGAAATAAAACCAACAATAGAAAAAAGATGATAAAAAGAAAGAAGAATGGAAGAAGGGAGAAGCATAAGAAAGGAGGAGGAGGAGAATCAAAAAGAAAAAATCAAGAGGAAAGGAGGACAAAGACAGAAAAAACAAATCAAAAGAACAAAAAAAAAAAAAAATTAAGAGAGAAAAACGAACACGCTATCGTAACCGAGCAGAGTAAATGCAGTGCCTCCCTCTGCTTATACCTCTATGTTAATATTTCACCATTTCTACATATTTATACTCTATGCTACGCCTCAAAAATTTTGCAAGCTATCATAGGTATTTCTAACACCAAAATTGTAATTTCTAGTAGGGTTTTGAGGTGCTATTGTCCTAAATATCATAAACTTGGACATGCAGCTTGATGGGATTTTGGTTGGTAGAGAAGACAATTTTTTTTGGATTTTTTAAAAAATATATATCTAATATGGTAGTTTTATCTGAAATATGAATTGTTGTATTAGTTTTGGATGAAGCTACAAAAATTGCCATGTATAATGAATAGTAATATAGGTGGTATCTCAGTCATAAAATTTTCATTAGACGGTTCAAAATACATGGTACTATCTAAATTTTAATATTTTATTTTTTAGAAATAAGAATGAGATGAAATTTTGGCTATATATATTTGACATCATCATGCCCCATATATAAATAAAAACAAAATACTTTCAATAATTTCAAATAACCAAATTACCCCCATGCTCAAATTTCATCACGATCAGATATCTATAAAAATAAATAAAATTTAGATAGTGATATGCATTTTGAACCACCCAATATGATGATTGAAATTCTACCCATATTACTATTTATTACATGTGCCTCGCTAGTTTTTTCCATTAATTATATTTACAAAATTGAGGTTATTTGGTCATTAATCACTCTCATTTTGGAGATTTTATTAAATTACATCAAATTTATTGATTATTTAACTTTTTACTTTTTCACTTATTCCAACTTCCAATAATTTTTATTTTAAACGGATTTTTGAAATTAAATAAACATTAGATAAAATATTACATCAGTTACATTTTTACAAAGGGACTGGAAAAGTCCCCTCTTTTTTTCTTGTATCAAAAGGCTAGGACAAGTATAAATGAGGCTATTATTGTCATTTGACAATTATTTGGAAAAGGAGTACGTACGACACATTGATTCCAGCCACGACTCTGACAATAAATGTTGCAGGGATGGTGATTCGAATTTCTTTTGTCTCTCAAAACAATTTATTGGGAAACCAAAATACCCCTATTATCTCATAAAATTGCACTACCATACCTAAGATGTAGACTACACTACGTTTAGAATTGAAGATACTGTCTGTAAGGACCTTCTCACCTTCTACCAAATAAATTTTTTTTTGCTATTATTATTTTCTAAAATAATTTTGGCTTTTATTAATGGAAAAGCATTCCTAAGATTGTATACTTTTGGAATAGAGTCGCCTCATTCACTCCTAATCATTATATGTGAAATATGAGTACTTGAGAGTATGTTATTTGCTGCATTTAAAGTTTGAAAAAAATAAATGAAGACTTTTGTATCATTTTCAGTATTTTATGTTACTATAAATTAAAAATTGAAAGTATATAATAAGATTTATTATTTTTAATAAAAAGACTTCACAATCACCACTACTAACTGTTACATGTAAAATCAAATAATTAGGGATATGCATCTTTGCACATAAAATTTGAAAAAACTTTTCTTTAAATATGTGCAAAAGTTTTTAATGTATGAGGATTAAGGGTAGCTACACCTCCTTTTAGTAAAGGTAAATACTATTATACAATCCCTCAAAAGATATATTGAAAATAAATTTAATTTCTTGTATAGAAAACAATTCATATCCATGCCTAATGGTCCAAAAGGGACATATTATGAAATTAAACAGATTTGGATGGGTTGTCTAAATTATTGGACCCTTTGTCTATTTCCAGGAGGGAAAAAATTTGTTTGAGATTGCCACTTTATATTATAGAAATAGAAAAAGTTTATATATAGCCGAGGTTCTAAACAATCAATCAAATTAGAGTCCACCCCAAAAAATTCATGGCAAGGGGTTGTTTTGATGCTCAAATATCTTCAGCATCAAGATGCATGGACATGAGAAAAAAATGGATTTCAAGTTTTGAAAATAGTGCATATTATAATTTTTGGATCATAAAATTTTAAGCTTTTCAAGTTTTCATTAAATCTATTTGATCTACACCGTTTTTGAAGCTTTAAATTTTACAATTAAAGATGAAACTATATTTTAAGGCTATCACAAAGATTTCCAGTATTGAAATCATATTCTCGATACTATTTGAAGGTGTGTATTACTTTGATTATTTAGAGCCTCGGCTCTATACAAACCTCACCCTATAGAAATAAGATGCACCTAAAAAATAAAATTATGTTTTGTAAGTTTAAGAACTTTCAAATTAACAACAATGTATATGGATATAAAGAAAAAAAGAATTTCAAACCATGAACATACTACCTATAGTGACAAATTACGTAGACTATCTATTTTCAAGGCGTTTGTAGATTTGCTCAATTTGAACAGTCAGGAATTTTAAGTTTTATAACTAAGGTTAGAACTTCAAGTTTCAAGCATTATGAGGTTTTCAATACCCGAACTACTCCTCTTAACAAAATTTAGTAGGTAAGGTCTATATAGGGTATCAATTGTATACTATTGAAATAAGGTGCACCGCAAAACTATGTTGAAAATGCCGTTTCAATGCCACAAAGAGTGATGATATGAAAATACATTGTTGCCCCTAATTATAAAATTTAAAGGTTTAGAAATAGTGACGATAAAACAGATCTAAGGACACTTGAAAATCTCAAAAAATGAACAGTCCAGATAATGTGTAATTAGATGAACTATTTTTGGGACTAGAAATCTTTTTTTTTTCATGTCTATAAATCTCGAGGTCGATAAGGTTTTTTAGGTGCACCTTCCTGGTACATTATAAGGTTTGGCACCTTATATAAAGGTGCTCACCTTATACAAACCTTTTCCCCATAATTTCATTAAAGCCAGTACCAAAAGTATATTGTGCCTTATTTATTATTGGGAAAATATCATATTATCTCTTATTTTTAACTTCTATATCTCATCAGATTCAAGAATTAGAAATATTACTTATAAGCAACAGGACTCCATCTTTTCTATCTTCCAACCCCTTAATTCTTTTTGACCATGTATTATTAGCCTGAACAACTTATGAAATAGCTATATCTCTCTTTCACGTCATCGTTTCTCTCTTAAAACTCTATCTCTCTAAAACACCATCTCTCTCTCACATCGCCTTTTTCTCTCTCAAAACTCTATCTTTTTCTCTCTAAAACTTCATCTCTCTCTAAAACTTCATCTCTCTCTAAAACCCAAACTCCATCTCTCTCGTACATAAAAGGTGTGCTCGTGTTCGAGCTCAAGCTAAATCCTTTAGTCGGTAAATTCACCGAAAAGTAAAGAAAGAGATAGAGTTTTAGAGAGTGATGAAATTTTAACAAAGTGTTATTTTACTGTTTGTTTAGATAAAAAATTTACGACAAAAAATATCTAGGGGTTGTAAAATAAAAAAGATGAAGATTTTTTATATACAAGTAATATTTTTAGTTCGAGTCTTGTGAGATATAGGACTTAAGAGCACACGGCGAAGAGATGTTTTTCTTTTATTATTTTTCTCAAAATTACATGAATTTGAAAAATAAATTTTCTTCTCGTGCTCTATATAAATGGGTCCCATTTTTTGCATTCATTTTCAGGGGCCAATAACCAAGGCTAAGCCCGCCATTTTCCGGCCTCTTTTCCTATCATTATCCGGCCGTTTTGTTCCCATTCCGGCCATTTCGTCTATATTCCGGCCTAATTTCCGTCGACATCTGACGAGATCTTTACAAACTTGTGGATAATGGCGGATTACGGTGCGGTTTTGCTGTGCATTTTTATCTCGTTTCTTCAAGCGTCTTATGCAATAGCGGCTAAAGCAAGAGCTGAGAGCTCTGAAGATGACCTGGTTTTGAATCTTCCTGGTCAGCCTCCGGTTGAATTCAGGCACTATTCAGGATATGTGAGATTGAGAGAAGGAGATGGGAAAGCTCTGTTTTATTGGTTCTTTGAAGCTCAAGGGAATGTTTCAGAGAAACCTCTGCTGCTTTGGCTCAATGGAGGTACGATTTGTGCCCTAATTACTGTTTTTTTAATGGCTATGAAGAGATTTGTGAGCTATATTTTGTTTAATTGTTATTTCACAGGGTTTTCTGCACTTTTTGTTGATGAATGATGAGTTCTACTGCAATTTTCTACTAAGCGTTGAGTAATCAAGTGATTTTGTAGGAAATTTATTTTAGAATCTGTTATTCATTGCTGAAAGTTGAGATCTATAGCGATTGTTTTACTATATTTGGACCGAGATAGCGCCTTTATGTTCCTTTTTTGTGATTTATTGCTAGGGCCTAAAAGTTATTAGTTTTGTAACTTCTCTGTGTGTTTTTTGAAAGAATATGTTGCTTCACTGGTGAGACTCTGCGAATTTGCAGTTGAAGAAAAGTTCCTATGTGATTGTTTATCTGTTTACCGACTATTATCTTTTTTTTTTAATCAGTACTACTAATATCAAGTTTTACTGCGGTTTTTTAACAATAAATGATAGCTTAACAATGATATCCATGATTAATTTAGAAATTTTGATGAATAAGAGCTGTAATAATGATTAATAATGAAACTAGTTATGCTGCAATTTTTTAATAATTCCAAACACGAGATAAATATTAAAATTCGAATTTGATATTTTATAGACTCTGTTTATGGATTAGAAGGTCTTTTGAGTTTTGGCTAGGCTTTTTGTGGCTAAGAATGGAGCGGTAGTAACTTGAGGATTTTACTGAGACTCAGTTTAACAGGAACTATTTAAGCTTAGTAAGACTTTTTAATGGAAACTAGATGATTGATTGGACAAGGTTTTGGTATTACAGGTATCTCGACCATCGACATTAGGGCTCAGAAACCAGTTTTTTTACTTTGAGATTCCTCTAACATTTACTGTATCTGAGATTTTTTAAGACCTGTTTAAAGCTGAATTTGGAATTCCTCGTCCCCTTCAATAGTTTCTTGGTTTAGAGCAAGTTGGAAATGGAATGTGGAAATATTTGTCGTCTCACTGTGGCTTCTAGAAGTTCCACGTCCAGTCTAGAGAGAGAGAGAAATTGTCTTAATCAATAGTTTCTTAATTTCTGTCTGCCTGACGCTGATGGAGCATAGTAAGAGAGAGAGAGAAATGCAAATGCGACTTGATTGTATCAGATGCCTTGGGGGGAAGTGGCCCATCCAGAGAAATCCATTCATATTGCAACTTGACATAATCAGGAGAGAGAGAGAAAGAGATTCAGATGTTGCAGGGAACCCATTTAGAGAGAGAGTTCATATGTTACATAGATCCATTTAGAGAGAGAGAGAGAATTCAGATCCCATTTAGAGAGAGAGAGAGAATTCAGATCCCATTTAGAGAGAGAGTTCAAATGTTACATAGATCCATTTAGAGAGAGAGAGTTCAGATGTTACAGAGATCCATTTAGAGAGAGAGACTCAGATGTTACATAGATCCATTTAGAGAGAGAGAGAGGGACCGCTTTATTGTATGCAACGTTTGAGTCAATCAAGTTGCCCGGTCCTTCTGTCTCCCTGTCGACGGAGTTTAGTGAGAGAGAGAGAAGACTGAGCCCTGTCTCTCTCTCCCCACAACTCTTTCCAAAGTTTGGATAAGCCCCAACATCCCAAAAGCAAAGAAGATAATTAAAATAGCACGTTCCTGGCCGTCTGCTTTGTCATCTAACGGTCCAAATTGATTATAAACTCCTTATATTAAAAATAAATAATCGAACTTTATACATTTCCAAAAGAAAAATAGTTTGTCAAGGATAAGCTTTTACAGCGTGACGCTTCCCAATTTTTCTAACGCAGTAATCATTGTCTTCTTTGGAGGCGCGGTCTTTCATGCTTTTAACGGTTCTAAAAGCCTCTAAAAATATACTTTTTCACAGTGTCATTTGGGCGAGGCCCTGCAAAAGCAGACCCAGTACAGTGTTTCTTCTCTGTAGGAAAGGAGAACTGGAAGTCGACCACCGCACTTTTCGTGTTTTTACTGGGGATTCGAACCCCAAAATCCATTGGAGGCCCCAGACATGCGCGATAAGACTATCGGGACGCCCCCCGCTAAAAGTGTAGGCATGAACCCCCACGAAAAGTGTGAGGCTTTACTGGGATAGGGGTATGAGTACTTTTAAATGCCCGTTTGTCCATTTGCTTCTATAAATGCACTGTAAGGTAACCTTTTGCCCCTAGGATATCTCATGTCTAGGTGCATATTATAGGTGCATATTAATGGGTCTAACGAACCCGACCGCCTCCTAATTGGACTTCTAGAGATTTTATAGTATTTATGGATAAGGTCACCGTTTCTACTGGTTCATAAAGAATTAAGTCACCACTTAAAAATCTATTTTTCATATGGGTTTTTTGACCTATTTTTTAAAGACATGTAGTATCTAACATAGAGATCATGAATAAAATAAAATAAATAAATTTTAAAAATTAAAAATAATGATTCTATTATAAAACATTTGGACTTTTCAATTGCTTCTACTAGTCCATATAGAATTAAATCGCTTTGGAAGCGCTTGCAGACATACTGTCTAGCTTGTGCGAAACAATTTTCTTATAAATAATATTGTAAATGTACATATATATTATACATAAATATTAACTTAGGTTGGGTCGGGCTGACCTTGACCTTGACCTGTACCTTATCCAACGCAATAAGGCCGCGGATGGATCCTAGACCCAAGTTAGATCTTCGGTCATATGAAAATAGACTGACTTACCAATTCAACCCAATTGCCACCGCTATTCATGCATCATGATTCACACATTACCACTCAAGATGAATACCTTTCTACAGTGGCACTCAGGTGGGTCGGGTTGATCCACCAACTTGACGGGTTGACCAATTCAGACCTTGATTGAACCTAGTTGATTAATAGGGTCCATTTTACATCGATGGGACCTAGGTTGGGTCCAGCTCCATCGCTATCCTAGCCCTTATCCATTCAGGTAGGTCCAAATTAATGACGACTTAGCCCAACCATATATATATATATATATATATATATATATATAATATTGAGGTTAGCCCATTGGTTCATGTCTACATACGACCCCAACAGTCCATATTAAATTTAGGGAT